CAGACCGTATCACGGAGGATAGCTCAATGTAGAACTGATCACGCGTGTCATCAGGATAACACATGGTCGGACCGTACGTGCTTATAAAAGTAGCAGACTTACCTCTTCCGAGTCGTAGGCGAACAGTCATCAGTCGCGCGCTGATTCCTGTTGGTTCACCCACCAGCTGGTCATGGACGCAATCTGATATTGCAAATCTGACCCCATGTTCACGTGGTGCTGAGGCGGCGTTGCCCACCCAGTAGAACGTGTAGCCAGCACCTGCTTCATGCAACTTACTTTGCTCAGCGAGCCGGGTTTCACTGAGCGCCGCAATATCGATGTGGTAACGCGCCAGCTCCATTGCGACCAGTGCAGTGCGTCGCTCCGGGCGCTCGCTCGAGTTCCGGTCCAGTAGTGTGCGCACGTTCCAGCACCCGATGCTGAGTGCTTTGCGCGCAGGCATACGATTGCATTGGTGAGCAATCGCACGCGAGGTGGTCGTTGTGCTTCGGAGGTTTGCTTGACGGAATCCACCCGGAGTCTTTGGCTCAATAGCCTGACCCACAAGGCAGTGGGTGATTTGGAGGTTTGCTTGTGGGACTCCACCCGGAGCCTTTGGCTCAATAGCCTGACCGACAAGGCAGTGGGTGATTTGGAGGTTTGCTTGTGGGACTCCACCCGGAGCCTTTGGCTCAATAGCCTGACCCACAAGGCAGTGGAGAGCAGATCCAGCTCGGGAATGTGATTGCAGAGACAGATGGGATCTGCTTGACGGCCGTCACACGCAGCCTTTGAGGTTCTGGAACAAGTATTATATGTTTTGCGACCGTAATATGATACACCTGCGACCACAGCCAGCCGCAGGTAGGTTTTGGCGGGTTTGCACCAATTTGACTAGGGGCTGCCTGGCTTGAGGCGGGCAGTAGCAAACCATTGAGCACCCGGAGGTGCCGTCCCACCGTCAGAGACAATGCGTGGCATTCGTGCTCTACGCCAATCGAGGTGTGAGCTTATAACCCGTAAACCTGTTGTCTCCCATGGCTAAGTTTTACGGGAAGTGGGCCATCGACCACTTCCTAACCTCCGAAGAGGATGGACTAGGATACTGCCAGGGCGCCCACACCTGATAAGAGAACGACTCGGGTCCTCAGCAAAAGCCTTCGATTAAATGAACACCCGAAAGGCAGCGGGTCTAGCACATGGTCAGTTCACTGACTCATGCGGATTGGTGTCCTGGATCTAAGCAGGGCGAAGGGCGAAACCCAACTCCCACCCAGCGGTCGCCACGTGGAGGCGCCCATGACATGAGTAAATGGTACAACAATAGCAGCAGCGGGTGAACCATCTGTCAGGCTCTAGCCACCACCAGCCTCAGCGCACCATAGACTCACCCGCCCGATATATATATATATATATATATATATATATATATATATATATATATATATATTAGCCGAACATGATGATGCCTGTAAAGGTGTGCCTCGCGTTGTCGAGAATAAAAGTTTATTTATCTATTTATTTGATCCAAATTCCTTGCGAGCAACTAAGGCGTGGCGTGTCAAGCGGTCGCGTGACATACGTAGAACGTGGTCAAGCCACGTCAGTTGACGCACTGCGACAAGGCGATCAAGCGGAGGGCTCATATTTCCCAATATTTCCGATCTTCCTCGTTGCGAACCCGGTGTTGTTAACACATACGAGCTATCCGCCGCAAACATATATTGTCGAAGGCCGAAAGCCTATATATGTTATCCACACGAACTGGCCAATACTCACTGTCGCACAACAGGACCGCATGGACATAAGCGTTATACACGCTCCTCTATAAGGAGAGAGATATGTCCCGACGCCACAGATGACAAAGATTGCTAAATACTGACCGGGCTTTGGCGATGCGAAGAGATACCTCTTTTCCAACAGTGCCATCAGCAGAAATGCAGCTTCAGAGATAGGCAAAGTTATCCACAATCTCTAGTTGTGTTTCTCCAATCGTAGGTGAGGGAGCAGACGACTTCTAGTCCTGAGGTATCACTTCGAACGCCAAGGAGAAAAGCGCATACCATACTTTAACGCTTCAATCGCCAGGCGGTTCAAAAATAGCTGTACACTGTGAATCATCACCCAGTAGAGCGAATCATACACACACTATACATGTTAGCTAAAGGTGGGAAACGCCTCAGCTACTGTGCCGCAGTACCTAAAGGAAAAGAGCGGAATAAAGTGCTACAGGTGTAAGCCAGCTGAACTACCGGTAACGGATGGGCATCGTTCCGGTAAGTTACCTGCCGGCTACTATGCAGCAAAAAATTACGATACAAAATTATATAAGGCTAAATAGTGCGATCGTGATTGCAGGGGGAGGCTAAGAGAGATAGGATGGGACAAAGAAACAGCTCGAACGCCACTGAGGTCGGCTCCTAGCCATGTCAGCATGTGTATCCAGCCAAACGTGTTCATCATCTTTCGGACCCCAACCAGGGAGCCGTGAAGCTCCAATCGAGGCCAGCACAGAAATGAGGGCCTTCATTCCTCTTGACCAAGTCATCGTTTGGCTACCCCTCTTCTTCCATCCACACCCCCGGTGAGTAAACAACGTAGTTCGCGAAAGTTGGTGGGCTGGCATGCGTAACACGCGTCCAAGCCATCGTAGCCTAATGCGTAAAATGACTGTGCTGAGCAGTTCAGTTCCATTTCCTGTACCGTAAACAAGGCGTCGAACACGCTGGTTGCTCACTCGATGTTCCCACCAGATGTGAGCCAAACTGCGAAGACATCGATGATTGAACGTAACTAGCCTCTTTATGTCCGTTGATCTAAGGGGCCAGGTTTCGCAACCGTACAGTAAGGTCGAACGTACCGCTGTATTGTACACTCTACCCTTCAGGACGAGAGTGATGTCGCGCCAGTGCCATAAGTGGCGAAGGTTAGCAAAAGCGCCTCGAACTTTTGCTATACGGTTCGTGATCTCATCTTCAATCCCAAGGGCGCTGATACTACTTCCCAGGTGGTTGAATTTCTGAACGACTTCTAGCTGATCCCCACAAAGGGTCAAGGACGAAGGCGGTCCAGGCCAATCTTGGAGGAACGCTTTGCATTTCGATGGTGTAAAGCAAAGCCCGAAGCGGCTGATACCCAGTGCTAATCTGTCCAGTACCGCTTGGCACGTCGGAGCTGTCACAGATTAGGGCAAGGTCATCAGCATACTCCAAGTCAAGAATTCGTTCTCCTGGAAGCAGATCCACACCTTCTAAGTCGTGTCCAGTGAACGCGATTTCCATGACTTCGTCAATGGCGAAGTTGAAGAGGAAAGGTGACAACGGGCTTCCTTGTCTCACACCGCTGGAGATATTGAAGGGCGACGACAGCTTGCATTAAGCCCTCACTCTGCCTGAGCTACGCGCATATAATGATATGATAATATTTACATATTTCTCAGGTACACTTGTCCTGAGTAGACAGTCCCAAAGTGTATGCCTCCACCGAATGGAATGAACGTTTGATATCGAGGAACAAGACCACGGTGGGCCGTCAATATATGTGACGGTGCTCCAACAACTGACGCAAAGTGCAGATTTGCTCAATGCAGCAACGATTTCAACGAAACCCGGCGTACAGCGAATCAGTCACCGTCAAGAATCAATGAGCTATTAAGCATTTGCCAGAGTATAGAGGGTACTCCAGAATTTACTGCGTACTTCGCAATTGTCAAACGACCTTTGATTTACGTTTGTATGGTTCATGTCAATCAGTTTCCCACGGACAGGATCTAAGTACCCTCTCCAAAACATTCCACATGAAAAAGCTTTCTGATGGAGCTAAAAAACGTGACATAAATAAGGAATCGGAACACCACTTAGTAAAGCACTTTTTGTCTGAAAGGTGCAGAAGCGTTCACCCTAGTTCCTGACGATACCTATGTTATTGGGTTAAACGTAAACCAGATTTGTCACGCTACCTCTCTTGACTCATAACTGCACAGTTAAGCGAAGTTGTAACGAGGACATAGCAGTAGCTGGTACTACGCCGACACGCCTGTTGATCAGATTGGGTTCTCACGCTTATTCAACTCATTCGTTTGATCACCTTCTGTATTCTACTTCTCAAAAACAAAAGACCGAAGGTAAACAATTGTGTTTGGTGATTCATCCTCAGACCCGTGCAATCATATGGGTGAAATAGCAATGGGCGTAAAAGTGGACTCGATCAGTTCAGATGAGATTCGGTCACGTACCGACCAAGGGCATGAACGGGCAACAAACGACAAAAGTGTAATTGAACAATTACAGCTGCCCTCAGAAGGATCCGTTTTGTCTTAACAGCTTCGATCAGCTTCTTTTGTGCACACAAAAGCGGTTGATACAACGGAATGCTGATTCCCTCGGCATTAGCAAGGGTGCGGAGGCGCAGACTTTTCGACTGGAGTGGAGGGATCCTGTATAGCATTCGAGATGCACGGATTGAGTCTACCTCATGCCCACTATCATAACAGAGCTAGTTATAGCCCAGGTACCGCCTCGAAGCAACTAGCGTGGTAGGTGATCCTTAATGCACTTCGACAGTTGCCGCGCCGTCCGACCAATGTAAGTGGCGTCGCAGGCGCACTCGAACTGATAAATAACCATAGAAGCGGTCATAACTGGTTTTACAAATCGGAATACAAGTGATGGAAAGGACAGTTCGCCTTGGAAGAAGCTGGAAGCAGTGTCTGCATGTCCTGTGGTTTCTGATATGTTCTTTCAGTAGAGAGCAGCTTCCCATGTTGAGTAAGATCAGTGTGAGCAGATATTCTTCCAAAGTTATCTTTTTGCATGTGTTTGCAATGAGACAATTGTTTCCATTTCGGTCTTTTCATCTTCGTTTTCTCTTCATTTTTGTGCTCGTTTATGAGCTTACATGTAGTTCTATTTTGATCATTTTAGATGCCAGCTACATGACACCTTGGTGTTTGCGGTTTACCAGGGTGACGATCCGTTCATCCCAGCTTTTTACAGAAATCAGTTCTTTGAATCTCTCGCATGTGCTCAAAAACGCTGCTGGATTGCTCCACTGATTCCTTGGAGTCACATCGACCCACTACATTTTGTAATACACTCTCCTCTATGTGCTGCAATCCGGATTTTATCGATTCCAGCACCGCAATAGATTGGGATATCAATAATCACAGATGTTTGGCTCTTCTGGATCAATACACCTTGAGCTTATGCTACAAGTGGCTAGATCGTGTGGTTCAGCTGTGTCAACAGCCACGTTTACAGTTGAAAGTTAGCCCTCCATATTTGCTGGATATTTTACCTGATCTATATGAAACATTGCAAGCAATTGTGAGTCGATATCAAAACGACTGTTCCGCTCTTTACGAGATAGATTATTTTCGCATTTTCGTCCATTCTCTAATCCAGCGAAGTGAGCATACAGTACGGCTATTTCGTGAGACCGGTGATAGCATGTTCGATTCGCAGTCACTTGCACGTCACCGTTTGGCAAAGTCGGCTTTGGTCTTCTCGCACCTTTTGCACGATCTGAGGGCCCTATTCCCCAACAACATATATGTGCCCGCTTTTCGAATCACCAAACCTGACGCTGCAAAATGGTGGCAAGCATGTTTTGGCACTAAAACCATTGTCCCATGGACTCAATTCCACCAGGCGTTTCGACGTGAATTCAACGTAAACCTATCCGAAACACGCCTGAGAGCACTTAGAAACACGATTGACCTTACTTGTAACCTACACGTATCCATTTTCGAATTCGACTTGTTCAGTCGCTTGTTCCAGCCCTGGTGTAACATTATCGATATGTGGACCGTGCTCGCTTTGAAGCACCCAGGCTATATGGCGTTTATGACCTACGATGAGGTGAAGGCCACTTTGAAGCCGTTCCGTACTCATCCAGGCCCGGGTACTTATGTGTTTCGTCTCTCTTGCACTAAACCTGGCCAATGGGCGATTGGGTACATCACAGAAGATCGTAAGATAATTCAGACCATCATTCAGAACAAATCACTCGCGCAAGCTCTCCTCGATGGTGAACAACGGGGATTCTATCTCTATCCTAACGGGCAGCATGTTACTTCCGATTTAATCAAACAGCTTGTCAACGTCGTCCCTCAGCCTCACGTTCGCGTCACTCGAGAACAGTACCAAATGTACCGTGATATGGGGTCCACGTTTGAAGTGTGCAAAATTTGCGACGAACATAACAAGGACATTCAGTTGGAACCTTGTGGACATTTGATCTGTAAACAATGTTTGCTGCATTGCCAATCTGCTAGCTTCAACCGGACCTGTCCTTTTTGCCGTCTAGAGATAAAAGGAATTGAAGAGGTCGTGGTGGATCCTTATCGACCTAAATCCGATACGTCTGAATCGCCTATTCTTCCTACAGGCAAACCAGCCACTACCGACTCTGATTCACGTGATTCCGACACCAGTCCCGTTTTGGACGTCGACACTGACGATGGACCAGATGTGATTTCGTGTGCTTCAATCATCTCAGCCCCCAGAAACCCTCCTCCAGTACCCCCCAGGAACCTTCCCTCTTCATTACATCCATCTTGCTATGCGGCAACGGATCCTCAGTGCCTGATCAATGAATCTAGTACTGTGGTTTCTTCCGCAGAGCCTGGGGTTGGTTCGTTTTCATATCCCCAGATGATGTACGCGGACGGATGCTGTTTGACTCCTGCACCTAACCGGACAGGCGGTGATGCAGCAGTGCCCTCTTCCCACCTGCAGTCAACACCGTCTCAGGATGAGCAAGACGGGTTGTCTCGTCCATCGACCGCTTTCAACTTGAACTACGCTCAATTGGACTTGCTTCACTCTGAATCAGATTCCGATTCACTTGGGCGTGTGACGAGTGGTCTCAAAAATTGGGCGTATCATCAGCGCGAATGTGCAAAATCAATAGAAACAGTCAATGTTCCCCTCAACCATTCAGTGCTATCAGACAGTACATCGAGTTCACACAATTGTGTCGATTCACACATATCATCAAGCGTTGATGACTCTCTGGTCCATGATCTGATGGCCGCTCATTCGGATATGGAAAGATCGGACGCTGTCTTACTCCTGTCCATCACTCATAATGATCTCAGTATGGCGGATCGAATATGGTATCACTTCACTCCCCGTTCTAAGCTGCCTCCCTCTGAATGAGATAATAAATGCTGTCGATTCAGCCGTGATGATTTTTCTAAAAAGGCTGTCTTGTCATACTACTCGAATGCATTCCCGAGATTTGAGTTGGTTCGTCTGATACTCGTTCATCTCTTCTTGTGCTTTTTGATATATCTGCACCGTCGGATGTTTATCCGCACGACTAATAAATGATTTTTCGAATTGGATACTTTCGTTGATTCTATCTGCCTTCTTCTCCGCTGTTGATTACGGCTGTTTATGGGTGTTGTAAGCGTAACTGCGGTGTGACAGTTTGAGACACAGAAGTCGTACTCACCTGTGGAAACGGTTGGACGAAACCTTATTAAGTTGTGATGCGGTATACAACAATGAAGTGGGGCTGATATATATATATATATATATATATATATATATATATATATATATATATATATATATATATATATATATATATATATATGGAAACCGATCCTTTCGCTGAAATTTCCAGTAAGGATTTGTGAACCACGTTCAAAACCTGGCAATGTTAACGATTAAAACTAGCCTTGACGGAGTCACAACCGCAGTTAGGTGAAGCGTACGTGGAGATCACAAACAATTTGTCTCACTTCTCCCACCGAAGTCCGATCTGCGCACAATCGCCTCCTGGTCGGGGATCAGTGCAGCAATGCGAGCTTGGCCTTGCTACTTAGTGCTACACCAACGCTAGCTATGACTGCTTTTGTCTCCGGAAGGAGACGTAGGCGATATGTGGCCTCGTGGTTAGTGAGGGACATCATGGAAAACCGACTGCTGGTGTCCGACAATCGGGTTTCAGAAAAGTTGCAAACGCATAGGTGGCGAGGGGTCCCAAGATGCACGTTGGGCTATCCTGTTGCCCAAGTTATATTAATGCAGTTATAGTGAAGCATACCACGCAGGACCAGGCCGAATGGGAACCACTGGTCGACTACTATGGACATCATTGAAACCAGTATCGGAAGTAGATCTAAGAATATGTGGGACCGATAGGTAAAGGATAACAGTGAGCATTAATAGGCAGCAGTTGGTGTGTGAGAAAGAAGCGTGAGTGACAGAAGCAAGTTCAGCTTGGCACAATGCAGTCCATGGTTTATTCAGAGGGCTTGGTACCACCTGGTTGTTCACACCAAATCAGGGGTTGTCTTAGGAGTCACAGTCCTGAGTCTTTGACCGAACAGCCTACTCGCACCGTAGCGGAGCGGTCAGGGGATGACGCGAATTGGGGCCCTGTGACGGATGTCTCGACTATTGTACCTTTGGCTTAGTGAGTTGCAATCCTGCTTATGACATCAGCATACATTTGCTGGAGTACAATGATACATTGAGGTGAATTTAGTTAATGGAGAGTCAGATCCAACACTTCCCATTGTAAGGACAAGGTTTGTCAAGGGAAAACCCTGGAACACTGCTCCAGAATAATTCGCTGGAACTGGATAATACAGATTCATTCACCTGGCACTACGAGGCGATGTCCAGTTTACTACAGGAATCGAACGTGGTTACTACGCATAAGGCTAGGCATGTGTGATCACGCGGGTCTCTACAACGTGCTATCTGGTGGGATACGACATCGGCGCCACACAACCGCCACCAATCGAGCGCGTACTGAAAGTACTGCGAAGTCGCCCGCATCTGCGCTGATCCGAACCGGTGACCTCTTATGGTTACAAATCAGTCGTCTCATTCCTTCGGCCACGTTTAATGAGACCACTGAATGATCAGCACTGACGTCTGTCAGCAGATGTTTGATTCTGCACTGGGCTGTTTGTAAAATTCGAATCATCTAAGTTGTGTCCTCCGTGTTCTTGCTAACCGGCTTATGTTGCTTGCTGATAATGAAACTTCGAGGTAGCGGATGAATAACCTAACAAATAGCATGAAAAAGTATGCGGAAACGCCCGCGCATGTGGCATTCCGAATGGTGGTCTCAGGATCTCCTTCACGTGCGTGGTTGAATACCCTATTAGACAGGACGCATTCATGAAATAGTTGTTTTCACTTCTGAGTTCTCTGTCAATTCAACTACACCCACCGCGCTTTCGTGTATGTAGCAAACTTTACCAGCTGATGAGAAACACTGATGCAGTGCAAACCTACGTGATGAAAATAACCATTTTCTTCGTTCGACTTCCCATTCGGAGTTTTACAGTGTCAACTCATATTCCTACTACATTTTTAGCGTCTGGCGTTACCATCACAACCATCAGCTCTGCACACAGTTAAAATGCATACCAATGATTTAAAAATGAAAGAAGCACTCCGGGTTGTAGGCCGTTTTGTGATTGTATTACTCTGAGTCTAATGCTGTCAATAGAACGGTTTACACGCGTCATATCTAGTAGCTAATGACAGTCTCTTGGAATCAGCAATGAGTGTTGGTCTCGGACGCATAGGCACCCTTTCGGCATTTGCACAAATCGCACCCGATTGCCCAAAGATAAGCGCTTAGCATACCACAACCCATATGCACTCAAAAGTATGACCTAGCGATGTAACACGCGTCATGCTAGTTGCAGTTTTATAGATTAGAAAATAAAAAGTGAAAGTGAAGTCCAACCATACTAACACTTATTTATCCAACTTCCATGTGATCACTTCGAAGCCGGCTGTGTGGGCTAGGACACAGTATATGTGCCATATATACCTACATGAAGTGATGGTTGGACCGAAGCTAAGTCGCATGAGAGAGCCACTCTTTGACGTTCACACTATCGCGAAAGCTGTACAGCTCATCCACAAGTCACGATTAGCTGTCTTCGAATAGAGAGGTATTACATCCTATGAGCATTCACGGTATGCGCGACCGTACACTGGACGACGTATCACGCCAGTGGCAACACAGTAGGAGGCAACTGTGGAGTCGGTGCAACAACAAGCGCGTACGACAACTAGTACTCTTAACCAAAGTAATAGTGGTGACTATTGCCGCCAGAGCTGATAGATACAACCGACTATATAGCGGAACATAAATCTTTCAAGTCAAACTATGTAAGACAGTTTGGTTGGGTGATGCAACACAACCGAAACCAAACCGAGCTGTTTTTAGTAACCGCTCAGTGACTTTATTTTATACACTCGCACTATTGTTTGTGGATCGGAGCTCGCCGATTTATCTTCTTAAATATTCGTTTATCTTTGTGATTCACCACCTCTGGTTTGTTGTGTACACAAAGACTGGTAAACTTTGCTTCTCTTATGCTATAGAATACACGCGTTTCGATCCTGTTCGTCATCATCTTCGCCGTACATCTTTGCCACCTCGCAGGAGCTGATGCGTCTTTAGTTCGTTGGTTTAGCTTCGTGTGTGATTCATCTGCAGCCCGGGTTGCTTGTCTGCACATCGACCATGTCCTACTGTGTCGGCCGGTGGTCGAGTGATCTGCACGTTTGCTTTGCAACCATAAGGCCACCGGTTCGAATCCGCGTAAGGGTGGGCGTCCTCGCGGTATACTCATCCCGCGCGCGACTAGTGGTGGTCGCGCGGCAGCGAAGCGCCGTTACGGCGTACAGCTGACACATTATTATTATTATTATTATTATTACTGTATCTATCACACGAGCGGTACCTTGTGTGTGAAGCCTACTGGGAGACGCCAGCGGAACGTTTGCGGTATGTGAAGAACATGTATCACTCACAGTATAGACCAAAAACAACATAACACAAACAGTTACGTAAAAATTTGAGGATAATTATACACAGTATGTCAGGAACGGCCTGCCATGTTGGCCACTGATGAGCAATACCCCTAATAAATCGTTCTATGTCTTGGCTTGTCTTCGGATGTTTCCACGCTTGCTAAAACACGGTGTTGGACTCCCGAAGAGAGCAAGCACTAGCCAGTGGATTATCCAGCCTGCTCGCCTGAACTGCTAAGCCTGTCAACACGCGACTGCGATGTCATCGCACAGCAGGCACTGGTCTACGCGTACCAGTCTCTACATATTCTGAACTGGTACCGATCTCCGCGTGCCCATCTTACAAATGTCATGGCACATGTGGAGAGGGTAAATCATGTGACAGATGTGGATGCGAACAGCATTTCCACCGCAAACGGCTAAAGTGAACGTATTCGTCATGCGCATGCCTCCACTCATCTTGTGCCGAGTCGTGCAGTGTGTGTGTGCTTGGTCGCCGTACCCTTACCCAGAACAAGCCAACAGCACCGCAGGTCAGAGTACAGTAGAGAAATGTAAAAATAGAAAACAGGTAGCAATTACTTGCCAATACTAGCGCAGTGGAGAACAGGTTTGAATCAGATGGCCTAGCTCACTTCGCCATAATAATAGAATAAAAATGACGGGAGTCCGGCCACGACTTTCCGGAAACCAGCAATCGCCCGTGCTGGATTGTAGAGCTATCGGGCAATTGGTTATTTGTTGGGGGAAGTCGTTGCTTTGAGGGGCCAAACTTGTCTTCCGCAATTTTGTAACACACATGAAATTGGATGACGAACCGTTATGTCAGGGTTTCCAATTATTCATACCGATTCACTGCCGCCACTTGCGGCGCTTAGTAGAAGGGCAGTGCTCCAAAACTTGGAGAAGAAACGCTTTGCCGGTGAGTCCCAATAAAAGGAAACAGTTGTCGGCGCACTTCCGCATTCTGATTGAATATGACGGCGATGAACCTCCTCAAGATAACAATTCGCGGTCACGCGGACGGCACTCAAGTTGTAATACACCATTTGGGAACAGACAGATGATATTGTTACCTTAACTCAGATAACAATGCAAAACCGACACCTAAGATGTTTTTCGACGCTCCAAGTGGACCTGGTCGTTCGAGAGTCTACCGTGTCCCATGTGCACACAACCGACTTAAAAAGTCAGCTGGTTAGTTGTTCTCTCAATACCATAGACAAAATCAGGTTGAACAGACTAATCAGGACGTCTTTATGACGTGAGCTAGTGACCGCGATTCATCAAAGCCCATCCGAATTACACGTTGAACTATAGGCGGATCGGGCTGAATGCTGAGATGTCGACTTGCTCATCAAGCTGGGTAACTCGACTGCAGGCGTTACGTCACCAATCGAGGTGGGATTGCAGTAGAAGTTGCTCGTTGGCAGACACAGAGCTTAGGATAAACACAGAAGAAGTATGATCCATCCTTTAGGAACAAGTCAACATCCACCCCGGGCTACCGATTGCCCGACTTGATTCGAACGCGTCTGGGCGCCCAACACTACGCGCGACTTGCTTTTTGGAAGATTTGGGTTGCAGCAACACTCTTCATGTATGCTTGCGAAATGACATTCTCCGTCGCATTCATTCCCCCATTTCGCCCAACGTTCTGCATATGCCGGCGAAGCTACTGACGCGTTGATGACGTTACCTCGACTAGCAGCGAAATGTCGACAATCGAAGTCGGCAAACAAGTTAACATTCCGAGGGTATAAGTGCCAGTTTTCATTTCGTACCACTACGTAATACACCGCACGATACCAAACGACCCATGCGCTAACAATCAAATAGGACTTCATTGTATGACTTAAAAACGCACGTTTTATTGACAACTACGTTGGCTTCATTAACACCTCGTTTCCGCACCCAACTGCTGTGTAGCGGCGCGTGGTAACTGCGCTGTGTTCCGTCTCGTTACTTAAATCTTTCCCTCTCCAGGGTCATTTTTGTCACGTGAGACAATGACCAGTGTATCATCGCACCAAGCCGGTGTGATTTAATGAACTAGGGCGCCATCGCTAGCTTGTCTACTAGGTGTTTCATACTTATGTATCGTTCCTGTGAATCAAGCATCAGAACTGCTTAAATTTATGAAGATTTCTAGCGCTCAGCAACCTAATCCACAACTGTTCACAAAGACGGAACACGTGAAATTTGAACCTCTGGCGTTCAGCGGACGCCTAACGATCCACTGGACTGCGCGAGGAACGCTTGCGACAGCAGGTAGGGACAGATTTTCAGAGTCGTAGTGTCAGATGCGTGGTTAGGTTGAGGCCGTGGGTTCATCAGCAGCATTACATCAGCCATTTGGACTAGTGCTTCGCTGCACTACCTAAGGAAGGAAGAATGTTAAGATGGAGAATAGTGGGACCTAACACAAACCCTTAGTGCTCTTAGCAAACATCCAGGATCAAGACGGCTACACCAAGTCAACAAGGTGCCGTCACAAATAGCGGGCTAACGTGTAAAGGTAAGGCGGCATCAGCGAGGCAGCTTCTTAGTGGCTTTTACTCTCCCGCGTCATAGTCAGTCATTACCACGCAGATAACAGCACCAAACACACTTTAAGCTGGCAGTCCGACTAGGAGACGACATCAGACACACCACTGATGCCGAATGCGAGTCACGTCCACAAGGCGTCACGTGGACTCCAGCCTGGAAGACGAGACGGACCAATGGCACCCAGTGTGGCCCTCAGTGACTTCATTTTCCGTCGCCAAGTCAATTTTTGTCCGCCTCGCGCCATCCTGCTTCTGGTAAACAAATACCACCTGAATAAGCAGTGACCACGTATACGTAGTGTATCCCGAAGCCAAAGCAACTTATTCAGTGCTATCTATTAATGTGTGGAACTGACCTGATTAACATTGTCTAGTACTCACCTACATGCATCATCATTGCGGACACACTGGTGCCATCCGACACCAGCAATGCTTCGTAGATAATAAGGATCAAAAACTTGAAGGCGCCTCAAAAGGATGAGGCTGTGTCACTCCCATAGAGTAGAACGGCCCTCACTATGGCTTTGTAAGCACGGCCTTCCAGACCAAAGGGAAACCCCTTTCTGATGCCACAGATTCAGGAAGACAGTTCTAGCTTTTGTAATATGTGAACTGATTTCAGTGGTTATGCGCCCATCGTTGGTGATACACCTGCCAAGGTAAGTTGGTCAGCTACCTCGGGTTTCTCGTTATCAAGTGCCCGGTAATCCTGCAACAACATTTCGCAATTTGAAAGAGCGAGCCGTATGCCAAATAATGGAACTTCTCTAGATAAGTTAAAAAGAGTTGATTGGGTAACCCTAACATCGCTAAACTGGAAGGCAACATCGTCTGCATACTCAAGATCAGATAAATTTCCACAAGGCAGCACTACAACGTCTGAATCGTGGGGCTCCACAAGGGAACACTTCATGATGGAGCCCACGACGAAATTAAACAAAAAATGGAAAAATTGGACAATCCTGATATCAGTGGTGCAGGTTAGTTGGAATAGCTTGGGATAATAGCCTACTGCTCCTGCTTCTCTATTTCGTAGGTCCTACTCGTTCACCAGATTTCTTTGTTAGCAAACATAGTCTCTGCTTCCGTTCGCGCCTACTAGTCCATCTGGTCACAATGTGTTCAGAGCCAGTCAAGAGTTTTCTTCTGAATTCCAACAGGTTCACAGACCTCTCGGATCGGATATCCAGTGACGAAAGTGGCGACGATTGATAGTGCCGCAAGCGGAGACTGAGATCCTATTTCACTGAAACTCAAACGACAAAGTAACAAGGCAGGTATTCCAGAACGAGCGACAGTCCAGTATGGAAACACGCCACCAGTAACTTATGACAACGTTTTCAATTTGAGTTCATCGCTTGCCAGCTATAGGGGGACGCTAAGTGGTACTTCGGCGTCCACTTTGTCTAAACGCAGTGCTGCCGATGCTCCGCACACAGACAGACCCTCGCGGTTGTCCATCCGTGCATAATCATCACGTAGCTGAGTTTCTGAATAGCTCAGACGACCCACTTGTGCATTCATATCCCCTGCAACAATAACGATATCCGAACTGCTAACACTGCGGAACAGTTTGTTCAATTCGTGGTGGAAGATGTCCTTGACAGCATCAGAACTGCAGACGGTGGGAACATAAGCGGAAACCACAAACAAACAGCGTCTATTACTGCTTCGTGTATCAAACTTGGGCGAATTTGTCAAGCGGCGTGCACACAAACAGCTGCGCGCTGTGAGTTAATTTCAGTTCGGTCGTCAGCCCACGTGTATGGTTAGTGTTTGTTTGGGTGTTGGAAATATTCGATCGAGGCACCAACTGCTCGTATAGAGGGTGACCGGATGATCGTTTCACATCTAGAGCCGAGCGCCAGTAAGTAGCAGAGTGGATGCACTTACACAGAGATACCGGTTGAAAATCAGCGCAGATCGTATTCCACACCAATAAGAGCACATTACAACAAAGCAAACAGAGTAGTAGTGTTCGTGCAGGGAAAAATCAAAATAAGTGTGAATGTCAGCGAGAAGACGTTCAGCTCAATGTTTGCTTAAATATGGGCATGGCGACGCTGCGCCAATACGCGTACATCCGGGGATTGTGCTTGTGGTAGTCACGCAAGCGGTCTCGGAATCGTTGTAACTGTGCACTGCCGACCATCGCACGCCCGGATGCGGTGTTCACTATGGGTCTTGTCAAAAGTGTGACGAGCAAGTTGGTCAGCTCGGATGCGTTCCGAAAATGAGCACCGATTTGGTTGTCCGGGACCAGTTCGTACAACGTCGGATAGGTCAACGCCAGAACTGGGACTTCGACGCCGATCAGATCGACTACCTATGATAATCGACATACAAAGAAAAAACGATGACGGGACGGGGGCAAAATGCGGTAATATGCAAGAAAAGTGTGGCACAATGAACGGGGAGATAGCTTGGGCTAGTGAGGTAAAGCTGACGCTCAAGTTGGGATATAAACGGAAGCGAGCTATGCAGTCAGAGGTAGCATACCAACGGAGTCGAGAAAAAGGGGACACCGAAGTTACTTGAAATAATTGATCTCCGCATATTTGGACCACAAACGGATCTGAACTGCTCATCGACATGTTAACAAAGTGCATTAGATTATCGTTTGTAACCAAGGTGCTTGCACTCCCGAACAATTTTCATATCTTAGCGGTGGCTCAGCTGACAGCACAATAGCTGAGGTGTTTCTCACCACTAGCGAAAGTGCATAGTGACTTAAAGGATAATGTTTGTAGGCACATGCCCGCTCTTACTTTAGATGCATTAGCTCTCTGCAGAGTACACAAGCGATTACCCACTGAAAACGTTAAGACCAGTAAGATGAGTAAAATAAGGCGCAGAGCGTGATGACTTTGAAATATTGGGGTTAGTGTCAAAGTACAATATAGCTGCGCCACATAAGCAGTAGAATCAGCTTGAACATTTTGGTAATTACTGTTACATAAAACCTAGGGAATTAATCCATCCCTAGGTGAGGATGCTGCCCGATTAATATAACGACCTCGTAGGTACTCGTCAATGCCATAAGTCGAGGGAAAAGCACCTGACCGCAGCTGGATGCCGTCTATTACATCTTTAGCGATGATCTCAATCGCAGCCAACAGGCGTATTCAGATTGCACCATTATACATGGTAATGTCAAGTAAAAGAGATTTATGGATTTGATCGGTACAACAAATTAAAAGGTTTCAAGTAGACTCCAACCGCGTCGATACGTCGCTTCCAGCGAGATTTCTAGGCATCAATGCACGACCAAAGGCCTTTTCTGGAATGTCCTCTAGAGCCCTGGTACAAGCATTTTTGACTGTGAACTGTCCCCAAATGATGTCCTTTCATGAGTTTTCAAGCGGGGACAGGTCAGGACTGTAGGGCGGCTGGGGAACCGTTGACACCTTAGAATCGGTCAGGAAGCGGGTCATGAAGGAAGCAGTGTGAGCCGGCGCGTCATCACGGTGAATTTTCCAATCGTTTGCAACCACGGACTGAACAAGATGAATCTTTCGTTTAGCACTTCCAAGTAGAATGAAGCATTGACGGTGATAACTTGTGGTACAAACTTATGGTGGATGAGCCCACTGATGCCAAAAAACACAACGAACATAGTTTGATATTAGACTCGCTTACTCGGGACTTCTTAGAGCTCGGAGACACCAAACTGTGCCAATCGGCACCCAGCTTTTTGTTTCGGGGTCGTATTCAACGATCAAAGATTTATAATCTGCGATGACATTCAATTATTCATTTGTTCCCTGAGCTTAGCGGTTTTGTTGCAAACGTTTCATCATCATGCGACGTGGCATCTTCAGTGCATTGAGATGCGGCGTGCAATCTTACTGAATGAATCGTCCATCGGTGATCGACCTGCAGGTGACTTTTGAAAGTGGCAGTCTCGATCTGCATTCCGTGACCTCTACTCACTTTCCTCACGACTGAAGTCGGCGCCCGAGTTGTTCCGCCTTAAACCGAGTGACAAAATGTTCTTTATTTCTTTTTGTCGAAGTGGTTGTTATATTGAATCAATGTCGAGGCGAATTTTGATTGAGATTTTAGCTGAGAACCAAACTTCCAGGAATTCCCTTTTCTTGTTTCACCCCGTGCTAGGACTTTTGCTTTGCTCCAATCGAAGTTATGTCCTTCTTCATCTATATGCAATGAAACTACTGACAATGCATAATGCTTTACACAGGCTCTTTTATGTTCTTGTATCCTTGTTACCAGTTTTCTTCCCGTCTGTCCAACATAACCCCTTCTGCAATCTCGGCAATGTATTTTGTATACCACATTGCGTTGTTTAACCGCCTGCAGCTTTTATTTTGGTTTTGTAAGAGTTTTTCTCAACCTGGCAGTTGGTTTGTGTGATATGATGTCGTTTGAATAGTTTGGCTGTTATTTCCGATAAAGCAGAACAACCCGTCTCTCCGTTGTTGTATTTCTTGCTGCTGCTAATGTTGTTGTTTTAAGCTGTATGTTTACGTTGTTGTGATTCAGACACCTGATGAAGCTTCAAGGGTATCCGTTGAGTTGGAAACACTTAACTAGATGTTTTTCTTCCTTTTGCTTTGCTTCTGTTGTACTGTAGTGTGTTTACACTCGGCGAAACACTGTCCGTACACAGGTTATTTTGTGGCATTTCGGAAGGTTGCTGTTAAAGTTTGGAATCTGGTCTGTGTGTGTGTGTGCCTTTTCTGTAGACCGATGTTTGCCGTACGCCTTCTATGGTCCTTGTGACTAATATGTTCAAGAAAGAGAGCTTGCTTTCCTTCCCCAGCTCCATTGTAAATTGGATGCCTTCCATGACGTTATTCAATAGCTGTTGCACGACTGTTATTTGGTTGCACCTGGGTATCATGAAAGTGTCGTCCACATACCGAACCCACAGTTTCGGATTGATGCGTGGTAGTACACCCTCGTCCAATTTCTGCATAACCATCTCTGCGATGAGTCCTGGCACAGGTCATTCCATTGGTGTGCCTTTCAATTGCTGATTATTCTTTTCATTGAATAAGAAGTAGGTCGACAGACACAAGTGGAGTAAGCGACATTTTACCGCTCCAGGTACACGATAAATGGGTTGGGTCACGCTCGTTCAACGAGCGTGACACCAATTGTCTCGAAACTTGATGAGCTGGAATGTAACCGGTGCACGTATTCCGTCACATTGGACAAACTGGACGTAGTGGAGCGCAAACAATTCGATACCTTTGTTCAACGAATAGTCACAAAGCAGCCTCACTGCGGCGGCAGGTTTGCACAACTAAGCCAGACACTTTATTCACCCTCGAACCGGAAAGGTATGTTCGTTGCACTTGGATAAGACATTGTTTGAGGTGCTCTCACTTGGTCCAAAGTTTTGCTGTCCCCATAGTTATTCAAGACAATTAGAATTAGAAGTGCAATTCGAAAATCTGTATGCCCAAGTTTCTATGCTTACGCCCGCAACAGCAGTAGCGTCTGAGCATTTTAAGTCTAACCTGGTCAATACTTGTTACCAATAACTGAAGTACAAACCTAACCTCAGGTATTTGCTGAAAAAAGACCACCTAGATGCTCTCAAACAAAATGAGAATGTGTTCCTTTCTAGGCCAGACAAGGGGGCAAGGGTCGTGTTGATGGAGAAAGCTGATTACATCGACAAGATGAACACCATCCTTAGCGATCGCTCGAAGTTCCGGAAAGTGGAGAATGAGAAAGAAAACTGCAGCAATAGAAAAGACAGTTACTAAGCTTCTACGGTGCTTGAAACAGGAAAACATGATTGACTCCGCCACGTTCTAATACATTCGTCCCACAGGGACGGTGATCCCGAGACTCTACAGCTTACCGAAGGTGCATAAGGAAGGACTTCCACTAAGGCCCATACCAATGTGCAATTCACCGTATCACGTAACAGCCAAGTGCTTAGCTAAGCTTCTAGAGCCGGTGAGAAATATTATGTCCAGGTACAGCCTACGAGACACATTCAGTTTCTTAGACTCCATAAGACAACTTCAGCTAAGCGGAAGGAAGATGTTTTCGTTGGATGTGGTGTCGAAGAGACAATAGACTATATATGTGACACCGTTCGAGACCATCAATTGGCTATCGGCCTTTCAAGTGATCGATTGAAACAGCTACTCCTGCTGTGTACTAGTAACATACAATTTCAGTTTAACGGGGCCATATACAGACAAAAAGATGGAGTAGCAATGGGCTCACCGCTTGGACCGCTACTAGCCGATGTGTTCATGAGCGGAGTCATTACCAGTCTACCATATTACGGACGATATGTGGATGATATATTCTGCGTGACAAACAGGCACTGTTGCCCAGAGACAATTTTATCCCATTTGAACTCAGTGCACCCTAATGCCAAGTTCACCCTAGAAACTGAAGGCAGTGCCACGATGTCATTCCTAGACGTTTAGCTTAGTAGAAGACCAGATGGATCGGTCCAACGGAGGTGCATAGAAAAGCAACGTAGAACGGACAATATATACATTTTGCCCGTTTTGTCTCAATAAATCAGAAACGTAACTTGATTAGATGTCTAACCGAAAGGGCCAGAAGGATTTGTAGTGAGGACACACTTGCGGACGAGCTCAGTTTCTTAAGTGGCGTTTTCGAGAGGAATGGATATCCAGAAAAATTTGTTCGGAAACACATGGAGTGCAGAGAAATGAGAGCTAAACCAGCATCGGTAGAAAAGAAACCGGTTTGTCTGTCATTCGAGGGGGGTGGTATATCGCAAGCAACGTCTAGCAGGTTATCCGATGCTATGAGCCATACCTACTACGCAGCGAGTTTGCGGGTAAGCTTTACTTCGACACCAATCGTGAGGCCTCAACACAAAGACAGACTTCCTTGGTCATGTACTTCGTTCTGTGTATATTCTTTCTCTTGTTCATATCGAGCAAGATACATCGGAAGAACTACTAGGAGGCTGTCTGAGAGAATACGTGAGCATTGTCCAGCTAATCTAGGCAATGGTGGGAGAAAACTGTGATGAACGCCGTGTTGGTTCACTTGGTTGATTGTAATCCCCAAATCGACACCCATTTACCGTGTATCTAGACGCCTTTCACGAGCGGTAAAATGTCGCTTACTCCACTTGTGTCTGTCGACCTACTTCTTATTCAATGAAAAGAATAATCAGCAATTGAAAGGCACACCAATGGAATGACCTGTGCCAGGACTCATCGCAGAGATGGTTATGCAGAAATTGGACGAGGGTGTACTACCACGCATCAATCCGAAACTGTGGGTTCGGTATGTGGACGACACTTTCATGATACCCAGGTGCAACCAAATAACAGTCGTGCAACAGCTATTGAATAACGTCATGGAAGGCATCCAATTTACAATGGAGCTGGGGAAGGAAAGCAAGCTCTCTTTCTTGAACATATTAGTAACAAGGACCATGGAAGGCTGCAAACATCGGTCTACAGAAAAGGCACACACACAGACCAAATACTAAACTTTAACAGCAACTACCTGAAATGCCACAAAGTAAACTGTGTGCGGACACTGTTTCGCCGAGTATAAACACACTGTAGTATAGCAGAAGCAAAGCAAAAGGAAGAAAAGCACCTATTTAAATGTTTCCAACTCAACAGATGCCCATGAAGCTTTATCAGGTGTCTGAATCACAACAACGTAAACATACAGCCTACAAGTCACGTGTCACAAAGTGAACACACGGTGAACACCCTGAAACACTACAACAAGTGCTACTCATGGACCTCAGTGACCTAGATAGACAACAAGGCGTCAGTCGTGAAGTCGTAAATCTAAGGATTCACTCCAACCTCCGGCGATCTCCACCTGCTGAGGTTATGCGCGAAACGGGTCGTGTGGTGTTGTGTTGGAGGGGTAGCGTACAACACCGAGTCTCTCCATTGCTGGTGTTGTTGTTCTCGTCGTCGTTGTTGTTACTGACTACGATTAGTGCGCTTGTTGATCAGGTTAGTGGATGTGACGACTTAAGATATGGAAACTAGCTAACCGCCTGCGGTTACCGTTGCTCGATAACCGAAATTCGCATGGGTTTCGAAGACATCTACTTCTGTTTGCATTCATTCACTCAGTATACCTATTAGATAGAGGTGGGAAACACCCCAGCTATTGTGTCGTAATATATCAGAAAAGAAAAAAAAATGCAACAGAGACACGCAAGCTGAGTCACCAGTAACGGATGGGTATCGTCCCAGAAAACTACCAACCGACTATTGTGCCGTGTAGGGAATGAGGGCTGTTTGCGCCTGTGATCAGACTCTGGATGTTGTGTTGGGTGTTCAGTTTACAAGTCATTATACACCGAAAGAACCAATGGGGAGAATGGAAGTGATTTAAGTTGAAAACTGTCACAACCACCTACTGCTGGAGAATACCGCATCGCTTTGGGGTCGCAAGACTGAAGAAATACGCAGCATAGTACCGTCCGTTTGTGCCTTTGCGATTTAGTGTACATCAGTGCACATCGTACGATCTGCTGCTACATGGGCTTGTAATGACTCAGTGAGCTCGTGCACGTGGATGGATGCCACATTGTGTCTCGTAATCGTGCACAAATTGGCTTTTTTCCCAATTGTAAGGAACTCATTATTAGAAAGTAGAAGTCACAATTAAAACTCACACACAATAATGTGCCTCGACGGGGAGACGAATCCCGGCCCAACGAATTTCCGGTCCGCTGCTCTACCACTGAGCTACCGAGGGCTGACGATTAGGTGCGCAAGTTTTAGTACATGACTTCTACGGACTTTACCCTACTCACAAACATCTACAATGAACTCATTATTACTACTATCTGTAGCTAGTCGTAGTGAGATGCTAGCTCAATGTGCTTCTCAATGAGCACTGACCTCCGGTGGTTACATGTAGAGTAGTGGGAAATGAATCCGAGGATGAACATCGCTCGTCAAGTGCACTCGTTGTTTTCGCTTGTCTCCTTGCGTTTGGCCACTGCCAACCGGGAACCACAACTGTGAGAGAGACGGGTACACAAGGTTACGATGACCGGGGGGAATACCTAAGGAAAAGGTGTAGGCTGCTATGGTTGCCAACTAAAAGAAACGAGTTCTATCCAAGATAAATTCACAGTGCACTTGTGCTAATCAACAACCAAGGGCCGTCCCATAGAGTGGAGGAATTCGGTTCATCTGTGCATGGGAGAATACTGAGCTCAGAAATAAAAGGGGTCGGCCACCAGGCACTTGAATGGGTCAAACGAAATATTATTGAGCCTGTGTAATGGTTAGCGGATGATGAGGTAAAGACACACGGAGCGTTACTTTTACTCTACGGGCCAAGTTTAAATACCCGCGAAAAAGTTGTTTTTGATGAGCAACAACGACGACATACAACAGAGCAACTACATCAGTCATCCGGCCCATACAACTACTGTCCCTCGCTAGATACAGTGTAAAGTTTATAATCACTCAAGTAGCTGCGTTGTTAGTGACAGGTAGAAGAGGTGATCGACGAGTCTCACGACGCACTCGATAGATTACTGTACAGGTGTGAGATATGGCCACACTTCAAACGACTGTATTCTCCACTATTTGCGTGTTCGAACCCTGCCTTTGTACTCTTCCGGTGCAGTTTGAATACCAGCTGTGAGTAGGTGTAACCGAAGCGCTGAAAAACTCCGTGACTCAGTGTCGATGGGAGTCATTGTAATTGGTATTCAGGTTAGTTGTTTAACTGAGATAGCCTGCAAAGTCGCTGTAACATGATGGCCGCTTTGCCTTGCAACAATTCCGTGGGTACGTGCTAGTTGAGACAGATACCAGCGCGATGTGAATGGGAATTCTAGTCCGGACATTTCAGTGGGCGGAGTCGTTACGTCTTTACGGATGCAGCGGCGGCAAGTGGGTGACGGTCCATACAGGTACCGACAATTAAGGGTCACCTTCTTCTCCTCGGCCGAGATCTCATTCAGCATGATGTGAATTGATTACTGGTTGGAAGCAGCGAGTAGAGCTTGCTCTGTGTAGCTACATCAATTTTTACTCATGGAAAAATGCCCGTTATATTGTGTTCCGCTCAATATATTTTGCGTCGGCAAAGTGTTTATCAAGGAACTGCTTAAATTCCGACACTGACTTTGCCTCTACTACGTGCTGCGGCAGGTCGTTCCATACATTCACCACTCTGCATTCGAAACAGAGTTCGTGAGCGACCCGTTTCAAATCCGGTACATTCATTCGTTTACTGACGAGGTTTTACCACTGCGCTGTTGTAGCAAACGGGAGATAGCTTACACTTACGTTGGTCAACACACACCCTTACCTTCATCGGTAGATCCAAGCCGGATGAGCTGCGATGCAGACTGATGCCCAGATCCGCGCAGCCAAGAAACACCGGGTAATCGGACCATTCGAGCCAAGGCATAATCACTTCAACGTTTGCCCAAGATTTTTCAGCAATGAGCTGAGTGTAATGAGCTTTCAGCGGACCACGACCTAGCAGGGGGGAATAGATCAAAAGAAGCACAAAATTACTGGAACTTACCACAGGGTAAGGAGAAAAATGATACGATCAACCATGTTCGCTAGCCGACCCATGTGTGGCATTGCATGAAGGCGCCTGGTCTAGCAATGTAACTGCGGTCTGCGGAGAAATCCGCGAGTCGGAACTGCCGTCCGAACGTACAAATAAAGACGAGATTGAAGGATGCACTTTACTGTATTCAACAGACTGACGATATCTATATCACTGCACGTAACAGTAGCGTTTGTGACTGGGAGATTATCGTTATTCAACTTGTCGGTTGAAGATATTCAACACCGCAACTGGGACTGCTGCAAGTGACAGTCCTAAGAAAATAGTAACGCATCGCATGGGATATTTGCACAGCGGACTCATGGCGGACCCCAAGGCGTGTTACAAGGGTAGTTCTCTTACCGTTTGATCTTGGGTATTAAACTCCTCCGTTTGCACAAGCGCGCTGGAGAACGGACCGTCACTTGCATCGGCGCATCATGAAAATGACAAGGTAACATATCGACAAACGTTCATCGATATGCGAAAGAGCATTCATCCCGAGCGTATTTTCGATCAATTAAACGCATCTCCAGTAGATTGGGTGAATCGCGCCGATACAGACTGATTCAAATTGGACACATTGGCTTAATGGACTACGATATGATATTTTGTTCGAGATAACCAGATATGAGACACGTCCAGCTGTAGTTGCCAGAATGCTGGGATATACATCCGCACCGAATTTGTGAATCGCGTGGTGGTGCGAAAATTCAGTGAAGACATCAAAAATCCCGCCAAACCGACGTTAGTTCGTTAACTACTGATCCATCCATCAGTATATATATATATATATATATATATATATATATATATATATATATATATATATATATATCAAAGCAAACGAGAGCCATCCAAAACCGTGGAAATTCACGGAACGTGACAGGTTGAACTGTCGCGAGAAAAACTGAACATTCAATTTTTCGTGCGTGGTTTAGTTCATTTTTTGTTTCTTTGCAGTGGTTAACAATTATAAATTGGAAACAAACTTCGGTTGCGTGGTATATCCAGAATTCTTTCGAGCCGCTGGCATTCTTTGTCCTTTGGTTCTTGGTACACCCAGATAAATCAGAACAATGACGGGGTAATGAAAGCATATCGTAAGCAACGGTGCATACAGGAAATGTATAGAAGCAAACAGCAAGCAAGTAACGTGAGTGTTCGATCAGACAGGGAGGGAACTGGCTAATCAGCGCAATGAGAGGAAGGACGAAATACACACACGCGCATACATTCGCAGTCTGTAGAGGCGACATAGAACACTGGCTGAGGGCGCATCACTTCTCCCCCTGTAATTGCAACTATGCAGCTTGGATACGCTCAACCGGACGGCGGTCGCGGGTTGATCTGCGCAGCGGCGCTTCGGCTTCAGGTGATGAGACATTCGCTCACGTGTCGTCCAATACTGCGAGTGGAGAATTTGGTTCACAGGTTGAATCGGATGTTGACAGCCTTGGCCGAACGTGATCCATGTGACGCCGCACGATTTTGCCGTCCTCAGTCTCTGCCTCTATGATCTGTCCGTTAGCCGTTTTGACAAAGGCTGGTTGCCATTCGTCGTCTGTAGGCAAGCGTAAGTAGATTAGATCTGATTCTGTTACAAACCTGTTTCTGCTGCGAGTATCAAAGCGTTCCTACACCCGTTCTTGTTTCTCGCGAAATTCAGCTGCCAGAGTTCCGTGCAGTAAGTCCAATCGAGTACACAAAACGGCGGCCGAATAAGCTCTGCAGTATTTCTTCAGGTGGTATCGTTCATTATATTTTGGTAAGCAAACAGAGCATGATCTAGACGCAGACGCAATGGCGCACCCGTGTGTTTGAGCAACATATTTTTCACTGTTTGTACAGCCCTTTCAGCCAAACCGTTCGAAGACGGATGATAAGGGGCGGTAGTCACATGTCTAATTCCATTTGAGGTGAGGAAGGTGGAAAACTCGGTGCTGGTGAACACAGATCCGTTGTCAGACACAAGTGTTTCGGGAAGTCCAAAAGTAGCGAGCGTAGTGCGTAGTTTGATTAGTGTGCTAGCTGAAGCCGCTGTCGACAGGATGTGAGCATCATTCATTATACACGTCAGCTAGAGGTGGGAAAACACCTCCGCTATTATGCCGCAATATTTGAAGGAAATACATACATACATGGTTGGTTGGCGGCATCCGGTTTCGGAGTTGCCTGTCACTGTGGTCAGCCACAGGACGCCTGCGCCTACAGAGGGACCATGAGTGGCTTGCGCTGCACCACCCACAGCTCCAACCACACACCCCATATCCAGTGTAAACCCGAAGGAATAAGACCGGGAGGCACGTTTCATCAACGGAGCCGGCCCACACTCCTTCACAGGCAAACACAAGCACGCTGTAGTTGGGAAATCAAGCGCACACAAGGCGGTGGCTGGACCGTAGTCCGCTCCACACTGAGTGCATGGAACCACTCTTCGAGCCTAGCACGGCCACAAGGACCGTGCACCCCGTCCTCTCAGCAACGACCAACTGTCTCCTGGAGCCAGTATGGACGAGGTAGTGGGTAATAGACAGGTAGGCACCTTGTCAACATGCACATCAAGCGCAGCCACACCGGGGATATCAAGCAACAGCCAATCACCTGAAACGACAAGATGAAATAAAACAAATCCAATAATGCATACAGATACGGTGGCATAACTCTTCGCTAAATTAGCATATGAAGTATGTTGGTTAGCAACAAATCCGCGATAAGGAAAAAAGTGTCCACAAGTTAGTTAAAAATGCTACAAACGCAACAAAGTTACCGAAGATAAGCGCAATTAATGTAAGCAACGTGGCCAGTTAATAGAAGATTATTCAGGTAGGCAGAACAAACCAAATAAAGTGGAATGAAATTTATCCAGCTTAAAAAGACCTAGTTTAAGTGTAAGTTAGTTTAGCCCAACTGCGGTGAAGAAGCATCAAGAATGCAACATCAGCCTCAGCAACTCCTGGGTGTGCATCTTGAGGCTCGTTCAGGATGGCTGATCGTAATCTTTTACGGACCACAACCCGTGCACCCCACAGCAAACATCCATTCTGGAGGCTCAGTTCTGTCATTCTATGGCGAAAAGGTGTAAGTTCTGCAGGTGTGTTGTCGGGCTATCCAACCTGAATGTACCATGTTACAAGAGCTAACAACGGATCTCCATCTGTCTCGTGATGTATATCTGTGGACATGATCGGAGCCTTGTTGAAGAAATGAATTAGATTCACAAGTTCTTGCGGAGTTCAGTCTTCTGAAGGGACCTCCGGTAAGGGAAATTCGACTGAGAACGTCAGCGGCGGTATTCTGTCTGCCCGGAATATACTGAATCTGGTACGTGTAAGCATATAGAATGAGGGATCAGCGGATCACACTGGGGGAGGTCATTTGTCGAATTCCTTTTTCGTGCCCAAGAAGCGAGATAAGGTGTTTATGATCTGTGCGAATCACGAAATGTTGGCCGAGCAAGTACTGATGGAATCGGTTGATCCAGAAGATGACAGCGGCCGCCTCTCGATCGAGATGAGAGTAGTTCCTCTCGGCTGCGGTTAAGGTTCGCGAAGCGTAAGCAACAGGTCGCTGCGAGCCATCAGGTAGTCTATGTAGCAAAACGGTCCCAAGGCCGTAAGAAGAAGTATCACAAGTGAGAACAACAGGTTCCCGTGGATCGTAATGTACATGGACCTCAACTGACGCCAAAAGTTTTTTTTATTGCGTTGAAAGCTTTATCGTGAACAACGTTCCATTTCCACTGCTGGTTCTAGCGCAAAAGTGAATGAAGCGAATGTGAGCGAGTTGATGCTGCTGGTGTGAACCTGGAGGAAAAGAATGACTGCTCCTAGAAAGGGGCGTCGTTGTTTACCTTTTTGGGTGCTGTGGCTTTAAGGAGTGCTCTGGTTTTCTCTTCTAGCGGATACAACCCCTTGCGCGGGAGTTTGTACCCCAGACCTTGCACACTCGGTACAAGAAATTCACACTTCTTTCTTCAGTATCAGCCCGCGGTCTAATAGCCTTTTTAGAATTACATCTATGGTGTGCAGATGTTCAGCAGTTGTGCGCCCGGTAATTAGGATGTCATCCAAATCGGCACATGTATTTGGTATATCTTTCACTAGCGAGTCGATAATTCGTTGAAGTATGGACGGTGCAGAGCTTATTCCGAACGGCATGCGTACATAGCGAAATAACCCAAGATGTGTGTTGATGGTGGTGAAAGCACGTGAATTCTCGTCGAGTTCAATCTGCTGGTAGGCGTGGCTCAGATCCAGTTTTGTAACAAGTTCGCCACAAGAGAGAGAGAGGCGTAAATATCTTCAATTTTAGGCAATGGATATCGATCTGGCTGTAGCGCTTGGTTGATTGTAACTTTGTAGTCCCCACAGAGTCTTACAGTACCATCGCTTTTCAGCACAGGCACTATAGGGGCAGCCCAATCGGAATACTGGACGGGTTGAACTGTACCTTCTTCTAGCAGTCGGCGCAGCTCAGTCTCGACCTAGTCCTGAAGAGCATAAGGTACGGTGCGCGCCTTCCAAAATCTCGGTGTTGCTTGTGGTTTCAGTATCAATCGGGCCGCGTAATTCTTCAGCAGGCCTGGCTTAGTTTGATCAGAAAGAAGTGCATATTTCTTGCAAAATCCCAGATAGTTGTAGGCAAGCTTCAACCGTGTTGACATTTGACATGATGCCCGGAAGTCGTTTAATCTCATCGCGACCAAGTATGTTTGGACCTGGTCCCCCAGAAATGTACACATGGATTTGGTCCGTCTAATGGCGGTAGGACATACGTGCAACAAAGGTACCCAACACACTCACCAACTGTCCGGTGTATGATCGTAGTTGTATTGTAAGGGGATCTAGTTTTGGTAGTTGTGACAGGGCATGGGGTGGTATCAGCGTAACTGCGGAACCCGTATGAATTTCAAAATCAG